ATCTTAAATCTCGAACGTGCAGCTTAATGCTTTAATTGATTATTATCTGATACTTTTAACAGGTATTTGATGAACAATTATATTACAACTTTACCTGACGGAGTGTTCGCCAAGCTGACGAGACTGCAATACTTGTAAGTAAAATGAGAGATTAATAGAATGCTGTGAGGTTGGCAGTAATCTTTAAAGCAAAAATTTCTTTGGGATATCTTTGTTCATCATATTCGATTAAAATTTTGTTGAGTTTATATCGTCATCACTTAGCTAGTTTGCATATTTTTAAAACTTGAATATTTTTGGAACGAAAAGAGATATTTGAAAATAGTAAGCAGCATTTTTCTTCTCGTGCAGACTTCTTGGCTATGTTTTAAAATGGCGCAGAAAGGAAAGGTGCGATTTTCGTCACAGGACCACTTTAATAGTTTTATAATAAGGAACCAAATATCATTCCGTCTTTTACTGTTTTTTACTAATATAACTATTCTACAGCCTTATATAACCTGTGCAGTCTTAATCGAGAATTCCACTTAACAGTAACATAAATACTGTTCAGTACAGGGCCTATTTTAGCAACGTTTTTTGTTGGTCAGAAAAAGAAATAATAAAAAAAGTTTATCTGAGCTGTATGTTTCTCAACCTAGTGATTGTGGTCGATGTATTTCACTCACAGCAGGCAAGACTACGTTACACCACATTGCTGATCATTCCAAAGATACCAAAATCAGCGGACACTATTTAAATGATCTTGTATAAGATTCTATAGGCCGTGCGAATTGATCTGTGTAGCTATTTGATAAAATGCTGTTTTAATTCTTGAATTGTTAGGGAACTGCGAATTAACAAGATAACATGTCTTCCAAGTGATATTTTTGCCAAAGATACCACGTTACTTAATTTTCTGCGTATTATGCAATTACTATGGATCGTGACTAAAACACCACATAAGTACATAACGGTAACATAAGGATACACACGAGTACATACGATTATTAATCAACTGCAGCGAATACCGTCCAAATAACAGTACAAATATACAGCGATATTATACAGTTATTTGTACAGTAGAAAACCTGTTTGTCGGACAGGTCGACGCGCGCACGCGAAATTGTCATACAATCCCTCTTTCACTGATAAATTTATTGGTTACAGCAGTTCGATAATAAATTTCTTATTAGATGTTTTGGTGTTCAGTATCGCTTTATATTTTTACTCGTNACGCTACTTAATTTTCTGCGTATTATGCAATTACTATGGATCGTGACTAAAACACCACATAAGTACATAACGGTAACATAAGGATACACACGAGTATATACGATTATTAATCAACTACAGCGAATACCATCCAAATAACAGTACAAATATACAGCGATATTATACAGTTATTTGTACAGTAGAAAACCTGTTTACCGGACAGGTCGGCGCGCGCACGCGAAATTGTCTTACAATCCCTCTTTCACTGATAAATGTATTGGCTACAGCAGTTCGATAATAAATTTCTTATTAGATGTTTTGGTGTTCAGTATTGCTTTATATTTTTACTCGTTGTTTGTATTTTGATTCGCCCTACGGGCTCGTCAAAATACGCCACAACTCGTAAAAATATACAGCGAAACTACACACCAATGCAAAACATATAATAAGATATATGTACATACGAGTGACATACGAATACATACAAGTAACATACCAGTACATACCAGTAACAATATACGAGCACATACGAGTAAAACACGGACACATACGAGTAATATATGGATGAGGGACCACCGAGCTCATTTTTGAGTTGGTGGCAATAAATGTTAATTAATGAGCGACACGTTTGCCAAATCC